GTACGTACGTAACTAACTAAATAAATAAAATAAATAAATAATAATAATAATATATATACGTAACGTAACGTTAGTTAGTTAGTTAGTTAGTTATTATTATTATATATATATTTTTTTTATATATTTATTAGATTCTCCTATTTTTGAAGAATAAAAGCTCAAAATTTTAAGTGATTTGGATTTGTAGAAAAAAATGAAAATCCAAATACGAAATGAGGTCGTGACCATTGGATCGGGCCCAGATTGAAACTGGGTCGTTGGCTGATACTGTAGCAGTCAGCCTATAGGCTGACAGGATCCTTTCCCTTTATGTATATATAAAGAGAGAGATGGGGAGAAAGAGAGCTACAGTTTCAGGAGAGAGAGCAATAAAGAGGGTTGGTTGTCGGACATCAAAAGCTCCATTAGTGCAAATGGATATTCTCTGGTGGATCCGATGGGGGGACAAATTACCTGTTGCAGCCCGTAATACATTCTCACCCTTCTTAGCGGAAAATGGATTTTATGATTTTGGGGCAATAACGGGTAATCTGTATCCATTTCCCATTTGCTCGCAGCATACCCAAACACTTGAAATAGAGGATTTCCTGAAATTCCATTTTAAACATAATGGATTTTCAAGTACCCAAACGGCCCCTTAATGAATTCGCTATTTACATATGGACGAGAAGTTTTGAAATGGTCCTCGGTGATGTATGGATTTTAATTTTGCATTTTAAATTGTGTTTGCTATTTCTTATGGGCCTTAGATTTCCCATTGGTTGGATTATAAACTGCATGGCTTCTTCCATTGTTGATTCACATGTGCCAAACAATTTTGTGATGATTAAACTGTTCTGTAATTTCTTTAATTCATATTTGAGGCTCATTTTCGGCGCATTTTCTTTCCAAGTTGATGCCTTGATCACCTTCAAGTTCTATCACTACTTAAATCTCTTCTATATTTGCTGGATGTCCTTCCACAATCCTTTCCTTGGAGGTGCAGTACTGTAGGACTGTCTCAAACATGAATTAATGGTGATCACCTTCATTCTATCACTCCTTAATACTATCCTATATTACTGGATGTCCTTCCATAATCCTTTTAATGGTAATTTTATGACTACTATCCTTTCTAGGTATTTATCATACTGCAGGACTGCCTTCTTAAAATCTTGTTTCTTCTCTCAACTGGGCTGTTTCAGGGTATTGGTGGGAGTGGGAGTGGGAGTGGCAGTGGGCGTGAGACTGGCCTACCTGATTATGACAGGGGGTTTACTCAACGGAGACCAGATGGCGTAGGAAGGTTTGTACACCAACATGGTCATGTACTTTTTGCTTCTTTTCATTTCTATATAAAAATCATTATATGAGATACTAATTTTGGGTAATTCTCTGGTGTTTTACTTGGTGCAAGTCAATCAGCGATTATCACTAGCACAACTGTAGAAGTTGTTGTTCCTCGAGCTGTTGTTCCCACAATTTATGGAGAGAATGGAGAATGCCTGAAAAAAATACGTCAGGTTGGTCTCTTAGGCATCTTTCTCCTATGGTTTTGCTCTGGTATCCCTGTTTAATTTGCTAACTGGGAGTATGATTCTTCCAGATTTCAGGTGCTAATATTACCATCACAGAACCCAGACATGGGGCCAAGGAGACTGCGGTCATAATTTCTGGAACACCTGAGCAAACAAATGCAGCACAGAGTCTTCTTCAGGCATTTGTCTTGAGTGGGCAGGGATCTCCTTGAACTGAGAGGTAGATAACCCTATTTTCACTTTTTGAGATACATGAAGTATGCCATTGTTATAGCTAAGTTTCGGTTGAGGTCTTTCTTTCCTCTATCTTTGTCTGCTTTTGTGTGTTGTGAAGAAATAAGGTTCTGATACTTGTCATTTTGTCTTCTTTAAAACTTGACATTTTTCTTAGCAGAGGACCAAGAAGCTGAAGAACGAGAAAAAAACAGTTTTGCAGATTTGAGGAATATCATGTACAAGATTATCAGGGGAATTTTACTAGGGAAAGTTTTGAAACTTCGAATGTATATTTGATATTGAATGGAAGTGTCACACTTTCAATTGCACCTTAGTTTTGGACCTCCCAAACTGTACCCATGAGACTTGGAGCCCATGAAAAACAGCTGGGTGATGAAACTGCGCATGCTTAGAATTAATGAGGAAAGTAATGATCTGGAACTTTTGTCGTAGAAATGTTTTGCAACTGTTTGTTTACCACTTGAATATATCTATTTTCTACCTACAAGAATTAGTTCTCTAGATTTTTTACCCAAAAAGAAAAGAAAAAACAATAAATCATTCTCTAATTATATATCTTCCTGACAATGAGTTACTCTAGAAATTTAATCAGATTGAATGAGTTTGTCACTGAATATGGTAGCTTCATTGTCAAAATCAAATGAAAAAGTGAGTTGGTTTGTGTTAGGTGTCCCGCTCATGTTTTTTCCTGTGTCTAACCTGTGCTTATGAATTCATATCCTTTGAGTGGCATACTTGCTTTTGAGAAATCATTCTGTTTACATCAGAGAAGATACAATTCAGGGAACCGTGCATGTGCTTCTAGTGCTTTGGATTCAAAACATCCATTCTAGGTACTAGGTTTACTATTTGGCTGGAATCTTAGTTTCTAGGCATTTAAAATGGTCATTTTTCAATTTATGGCAGTCAAAAAGGTTTGTGGATGACTCTCCTTTGCTTGCTCATCAGGATCAATCTACATCACATTTCCTTGGGATTTCTAGGTTTGAAAATTATTGTATAGTCTGTTCTATCTTCATCTTTCCAATGACACAAGTTCAACTGGGTGCTGCATGATGCTTATAGAATTTTATAAGGTCCTAGTGTTTTCTTTATGTTCCTTGATAATGAACTACATCATTTTCGTCTCTCTTTTTTTAACCTAGTGAGACCAGCTACATTGCTTATAAATGATTAACTCGCTATGTTGCATTAGATTTTGATTGTCAACTTGTTTTGATTTTCATTCAGTATCTTGTCTGTTAACTTGTTAAAAAAATAAATAAATAAATGAAAGTTAAGCAGCTTGTCTAGTTGTCTATCTATAGATTTGATATGAAGAAACCTGCAGGGAAATTTATAAGTTTCTAATAGTCAAGTTCCTCCTTCTAGAATCCAAAAGATCGAAGTGGGATTTTTATTTTCATATATCATGCTTTTCATCCCTGTTTGCAGGATGCTTCTTAAAAATTTGAAAAATTTAATAGTCAAATTGCAAATCCAAAATGGGTTTCTCTTCTTTGTGCCAGTGTGCATGCTTTTCCTCATCAATGTGCATTTTAGGCTGGAATTGATCTTCCCTTCCAGAGTTGGGTAAAACCTACGCCTTTGTTTCATATTATTCTTGCAGGACCATAAACAGTGGCATGGGCAATTACGACACAGCATTTGGCTTGACAATGGGTATGGAAGTGGAGGTCTGCTTGTTGAAGGTTTCTGATTATGCAGGGAGTCCAACATGTTTTTGCATGGCTTGGGTCCCTCTCTCACAGGTAGCTCACAGACCTCTGATGGTCGTCACGTGGTAATGTTTCTTGGATAGATACTTTCAACACCATGAAGTCTATATCTGTTGTAGAATCTGCATTCTCCCCCAATTAGACCACTTATTGATACATGGCGAAGTTTTCTTATTTTCGTGCTCACTTGGAAAACAGCTGTATATTCATGTTCCTCTGGTAGATGACCATAGTAATTCAGCAGACACTGAGCACTAGAGCAGCATCTTGGGGTTAGAGCTAGATATTAAATTTTCTCAGGCTCTTGCTGCCAATCATGTATAAATGGCGGCTTCTGAGGAATCCACATGGACCTGGTACTCCTTTTTCCTATTTGGGTATGCTAATGGGGATTTGAACCTTGGAAGTTGCTGTTAGTACATCATCTCAGGTTATGTTGGATAGGATACATGATGTCACCACTTTAGGCTTCTGTCAAGCTATAGAAGTTCAAGGTCAGCTGTGGGCTTTAGCCAGTTGCAATGCTGGAAATGCAGGCCTAACTACTGACAAGCTACATCTCCTACGTCCCAATTTTGTGTAAGTGAAGATTTTTTCAGGAGCTACTCAGTCATTTTTTTTTCCTTTTCTCATGTTGGCCCTTGAGCCATGTAGTTTGCTTTTGGAAAATCATGTTTCCAGGCATTTGTGAATCCGAGACCTTCCTTGAGGGATTGCATTTGCAACATGCTTTCCCACCAATAGATGCCCAAGCCTAAAACCCTAAAGCTAGAGTGCCTAAAACCCTAAAGCACCAAACTCTGATATAAATAATTGATGCTGGTCTGACGAACCAATGTAGCTTGCTTTCTGAAGCCTTTCTGACTGAGACTTATAAGAATGCAAGTACGGTTGCCCCTATTTGTTTATCCCAGTAACCACACTTATTTTGGGTGTCTCAGTAGCCGCCCATGTCAGTATTTTCTTGTGTCATTCTCCCCTTTTCAAGAGGCAAAGGGTTGAACTTATGTAAATTTGACATTGGCATCTGCCTGTTGCCAAGTGCTGCAGCTCTATTGTGTTTGTTTGTAGGCAGCAATTGAAATAGAGCTGTATGGGCGTTGACTACATGTTAATCACATTTAAGCCAAATTGGCATCGGACTTCAAACTGGTGAATGCTTCAATGGGATTCACTTCTTTACTTCTTGGCCACATTATGATTGCATATTTTATCATATGTTTCATGTCATCTTTATCCATGAATACGTAGGCTCAAGTCAATGCACTTGGCTGTTGGGTCTGACGTAGATAATCTGAAACCAGGATCCTATTGTCAAACCTTCGACTCCAAACACTCAAGATGTCTGTGTGGCTTAATTATGTAGCTACTATGTCACTCAATGTACTAGGTCCTCTACCTGAATCAATTGCACCATTGCGATCGTACTTTTGGAACATAGCTATGTCATCGACCTACATCACCTTGGATTCACAAATTTGTTGGCTTGGTCTGCTTGATCACTTTATTATACGAATCAAATGACTGCCCATTCTTCATCATGGCTGAAGTATCATTTCATTTTCTGAATAGTCTATTGACTGCGTGATTGATGGATTGGTGGCTGGAGTCACTGAGAAAAAAATTCACCTTGTTGATTATGAAACTTTGGAATTGCAACTAGCATGTTCAATTTTTAATGAAAGAGGATAGAAACCTCATATTGGACTTCCTTATGAATCGTCATGTAAAACATTAAAAGTAAATGTTACCTCTGCCAAAAGCATATGAGAAAGCAATGTAAAACAATATACTCATTCTGAGCCATCCACAAACTTTCCATTATGATACGCAAGGTACTAATACAAATAGGCATTATGTTGAAAGTGGAACTCATGACTCACCTAAATCAGCTTAATCATTGTATCAGTGGAATCAGATCCTTGCCTATTCTTCAGGTTGGAGTTATTCATTCAACTTTGGAAAGGTGTAGATTGTGTGGTTGATGAGTTGGTGAATGAAATAGAAAACTTCACCTTGTTGATTACAGGGCCCAAGAATTGCAACTGGTATGATAGAGTTATAATGAAAGCAATAGGAATCTCAATTTGCACTTGCTTATGAAGCTTTATGCCCTACTCGTTTATGCACTACTAGTAAAACCTTAAAACTAAATTCTGCAAGTAGATCTGCCAAAACCAAATATGACAGCAATATAAAATAATCTACTTGTTCGAATCCATCCACAAAATATTCATTATGGTATGTATGGTAAGTGCAGATAAATATTGTGTTGAAATACATGACTCACCTAGATTTGGTCTGCTTGATCATCATCATTGAATCAGATCCTTACATATTTTTTTTTGAAGCTGTTAACAGTTTGAATTTTTTTGGTCTTTTCTGTTTACTGAAAGTATCGGATATCTCCTATGAGACTTTCTTCAGGTTGTCTGATTTTTTCTTTCAACTTTCAGGAAAAAAGTTTAATTGTAAGGTTGATGGTTAGATGTCTGGCATCATGTACAATAAAAAGTTACTTCAGTTGAGTATGTAACCTAAGAATCACAACTAGCATGATTGATTTATAATGAGAGAGGATGGAAATCTCATTTGGACTTCCTTTGTATCTTCATGCACGACTATTGGGACCTTAAGGATACGAGTTAGAGGTAGATCTACCAAAACCAAGCGAACATTATGGAATAATCTACTTGTTCAGAGCTATCCACAAAATTGTCGTTGTGGTATGTAGAGTGCTATAGTACACGTAAGCGTTCTATGAAAACACGAGACTTTTTAATTTGAACTGCCTGATCACCACACCATTGGAATCAGATCCTTACCAATACCTCAGCTTGTCTGAGGTGTTCTTTCAGCTCTGAAGAGGAGTTTTGACTGCATGGTTGATTGGGTGGTGACTGGAATCACATGTAATAAGAAACTTCCCACTGTTGATTACGAAACCTAACAATTGCATCTAGTATGGTTGTTTTATAATGAAGAGGATAGAAATCTCATTTGGGAATTCCTTTTGGAGTGGCGTGCACTAGAGGTAAAAACTTAAGACCAAGTATTAGGAGTAGATCTGCCAAATCCAAATGAGAACCAACACTATAAATAATCCATATTTTCTGAGGCATCCACAAAATTTTCTTTATGGTATTTAGGGTACAATACTAAGAAACATTGCGTTGAAATAAATGACTCCTAAATTTGAGCTCCTTGATCACATCACTGGAATCAGATCATTACCTGTTCTTCTGCTTGTGCGGGTGTTCTATCAACTTTGTAAAAGAGTTTTGATTGTATGGTTGATGGGCTGGTGACTGGAAGCACATGCTATGGAAAGCTTCGTCTTGTTTAAGATATTTAAGAATTGCTTCTAGTAATGACTAATCTATAATGAAAGAGGTAGAAATCTCATTTTGCACTTCCTTTTAAATCATCATGAACTACTATGAAACCCTTATATATGAGTGTTAACTTTTACAAGTAGATCCAAGGCTTTCTTATTTTCCATTTCCATTATGGGGAAATTTCTGTTGAATCAGTAACAGTGTGTCTAAAATTTTTAGGAAGGATTTAAGTTTTGGACGAACTTCATATTCATGAAGGACGCAGCTGAAAGAGTATGTGGTCTTCTTATCCCTAATTTTTTCTTAAACCTTAGTTGCTTTTCGGATTTTGAGTGTAACAGATGAGTATCTTGAAATATCTTTGGTAGTTTTAAGTTCTAAATGATATTCCAATCAGTTACATTTGGCGTTCTTCTCTTTCCCCAAATTGCTCTTCATGATAGAATAGATTTCTTCTTTTCATTTATAACCTTGGAGGAATTTGTTGCCAAATATGGAAGGAGTTCAGAATGAAAATAAGGGCGCTTTTTTGTATTTGTGATCTATTTTTTGTTGTCATTTTCAAAAGGATTATCATTCGTGCTATTATGAATCATTCGTAGTATTAGTTCTTGATTAAAGGCTATTTGAAAGTGTTTAATATCATTATGGTCCACATTGAAACGTACTTGTGCTCATTGTGAAACTGTTACACTCTTGATTATTTGCTTTTGGGTCACCCTTCCTGAGTTTAGGCCTTTCTGGACTAAATTTCTTCACAATCAGGTTTTCTTTAGCTCGATTTTGGCGAGAATTCAAAGTGAAACTCAAGGCCCTCAGGGTTTGTTGCTGTGAAAACCACGGCAGTTCTTTAGATAATTCACAGGGCCTATCTAGAATGTGGATTCATGTTTGGTTGATGTGTACACTCTTGTGGTGGGCAGTTGTTTTTTTCTTGTGAGGTGCTTCTTTAGACCTGTTGTATCTGAAGGGTGATTCCCTTGAAGTTCCTAGAGCATTAGGTGCAGATGCTTTTGTGGAGGTGGCTAAGTGTTCTCTACGAATATGGTCGTTGTAATTCACATGTCTAGGAAAGCTAGCTCTTTTAAAGTAGCTTGTCTAATTTTGAGGTAAATAGGTAGTGGCTGGGTTTATGGGATATTGCTACATTGATAGATAGTGACTGTGTTAGTCCAAATTGTAATCTCCTGTTTAATTTACTGAGATTTCCACTACTAAAAAACCAATTGAATATGGTATTTTTCATTGTCATTTGAATTATTATGGCAACCTGTGTTGGTTAATATGAGTTATTCAAGTCATTCAAATTTGAAACAAAGTTGTAGTCGTGGGGACATAAATGTTTGTGTTGGCTTTTAAGAATCCTTGTTGATGAATTGTTTTCATTCCTGATTGGTTTTCTACAATTTTCACATGTTCTTAATTTCTATTCTTTCTTCTTTTTTAAATCTGTAGTTTTGATATTTTCTTTTCTTTCTTTAATATTTTGGATTTCCAACCATATACTTGTGTCGATACTCATATAGGAAAATAATGTGCTGGTTTCTTAAATTTATGCATAAACAACACTTTATAATTGCTCACCTTTAATGTAGTAAATTCAAGTTAGAATTTTATTTACCTTGCCTCTTTAGTGGTTATTCTCATCTTCTTTATTTACTCCAAGTTCTTATAGTAGGCTCCCAGATTGCAATTCTCTCACTCTCTCTCTCTTAGACTCGCACAAACACACACTAAGGGGTTGTTTGGATACCTAAATATTGTCTGTGAAATAAATTACTGGCATAGTACATTACATGCAAATGGATTGTTAGTCTTTGGATAGTATTTAGATGCAACCTGGGAAATACATTCACTTTATGACTCACCTCAAGCCATCCAATTTGACATCAAATATTTGAGAATAATTGTGACCTCCATTCACAAAGATAAATGGTCTTTTTGCATTCCTATTTAATATTGAAATGGATATGTATAGATAGCATCACTATACCATGCTTGTAATGCCTTTTAACATTGAAATGCATGTATAGATAACATGACTATACCATGCTTGTCATGCCTCAAGGAATAATAACTTAAAGTGTGAATTAATATTGGTTATAAACATTGAGTGAACTATTTTAGTCACAACCTTTAAATATCATTAATTTGTAGTTTAAATAGTAAATGGTGATGTATTTTTTTAAAAAAATTTTGTGAAATGGTAAAGTATTTTAAAAATTAAATTGAGATATTAGAGGAAGCCAATGTGAAAAAAACATACAGCTAATATATTATAAGTAATTTATCACTTCTTTATCTGTATCTAAACCCTAATGCCAAAAAAATCCTTGTTTTTCCCAAAAGAGTAATCCTTATAATTTAAATAAAATATAATTTATCACTTTTTTTGTCTCAATCTAAACCCTAATCCCAAAAAAATACTTTTTTTAAAGATGTAGTAATCATTATAATTGATCAAATATAATTTATCAAAAAATCATTATAAAATATAATTTATCAAAAAATCCCTTTTTTTTTTTTCAAAAGATTTAGCTTCAGAGATACAGCCCAAATTGGGGATAGAGGGATGTAGAAATGGATGTGCGCAGGAGAGAGGGAGAATAGAGAAAGGAGGGAGAATGGATGTGAGAGGAGAATGCGTAGTTAGATTACCCGTTAAGCGCGTAATGGATTTCACAGCCATCCTGTGCGTAATGATTTCATGTAGTTTGAGGAAATCTTGTGTAATTTATTTCAATTTTCTTACTGTTGAAGTGTACCCAAACATGGTAAATCTCCTATTTCAGGTACCCAAACGGCCCCTAAAACATCTTGTGAATTTGATAAATTGTGTTTATGTTGCTTCTGGTTTCTTTTCCCTTTCTTGAAAAATTATATTTAAATTGTGTTTATGTTGCTTCTGCCTTCTTTTCCCTTTCTTAACAAATTATATTTAGCTTTGTTTCCGCTATATGCCTGCCATTTGACTAATAAGCATAAGTGGAGGAAAACCTCGAAAGGCAAAAGAGCCACCTTCCATACCCTCTCACGTCTACGCTTTCTTTAACTCTTGTGTTTATTAATTCATTAATTTGTGAAAAAACCCAGGATGTCCAAGAAAAAGTTGAGGTGCAGTTTGTATTGTGAAGAAAGAAAAAAGACATTTTCAAGAAAGACAACCATGTTCTATGTAATTCCTTAGGTGAGCGTAAAACTACACCGCTCTCTTGCCTAGAACCTATATGGCCTTGTCTACATGACGCAACACTTGCCGATTTAAAGTCTTTAATTGGTGACAGCACCTTTAAGTATTTTACAGCTGCTTTCTTTCCTTGGTATGCCCTTTGTCCATCTATGACAGTGGCAACTAAATAATCCACGTAAGTTTTTTATTAATGAGCAAATCCATGTGAAATATTAGATATATTTCTTGTGTGGAAAATATATTACACCTTCAACCATTAAGTATTTTACAACTACTTTCTTTCCTTGGTACGCCCTTTGTGTATCTATGACAGTGGCAACTAAATAATCCATGTAAGTTTTTTCTAATGAGCTAATCCATGTGAAATATTAGATGTATTTCTTGGATGTTGCCATGGTCCTGAGCCGGAGTCAGAGTCCAACTTGTCCAAGTCGTACTGTCTGACTTGGCTGAGTTTCAATAATATTATATAAAAAAATTGATTCTTGGATCAGACTTGTCTGGTTTTCGGAGTTAATCATCAGCACCTGGCACCCTGCCGGCTATGAGTGACTCATGCGAGTTCAAGTCCATCTTTAAATCACTGCATAGGGATAATATTTCTCATAGAGCTGATGCATCTCCCGAATACAATTTATCCTCAGATACTTGTATGTATTTGGTGTACTAGTATGATAGTATTGGCATTAGTATGATAGTATCGACATGCTACAACACTGATACCCACATTGGATACTCTTGGAGTTCATATTAGTAACAAAATGGCAGAACAACAAAGTATAGTGTTCGTAAATTATACCAACCTGTAAAAGAATAGGATATAACTGAAGTTTTCATATGTTTATGGCAAAACAGATAAGATCATATACCACAACTCCAGGCGGATAACATTCATGTCCTTGCTATGCGTCTTGCATGATGCTCCCTACAGCATAAAATGTCATAGATATGGAATATCATATGAATGTTTTGTCCTTGTGTCCAATGATATGTTCTTACAATTATAAGCATATGTGAAGAACATGCAATATGATATCTTAAAAAATGTAATATTAGTGTGAGATTCATAGACATTTCTTTTCTTGATTGGTTTGGTGGTGGCATTCAATGGATCTTAGTACTTAATAGAATATACCATGACTATGTTTATCATTGCTGTGTAACAAAAAAAAACATGTTTATCATTACTATTTATGTTTGTCTCAAGTAGGATATCATGTCCCAATCTGTGTCTTGGATTTTGGGAAATGGTGAGTCATATCCCAATTCCCATGTGCATATCCATGTTCTTGTCTCCTTTCTGAATTTGGGCAATACTGCCACACCTCCGAACTTACCTGATACCCAAAAGTCACACCTTTGAAGCATGGACTCTTTTGCAAATTGTGCATGCCTGCAATGCATGTTCTGTATATTATACAACTTCATGCGTGTTTGAGTACAAGCAGTGGATGTTTTATGTTCTGATCAATAAAATTCTACAGTTTGGTGTTTGACAATTTTCACAAACATATCCCAATGTAGATTAATGGATCTCAAAGATGCCACATAACCATTAGTTGACTAGTCTATTCGGACAATTATGTGGAATCCAGATTCCACAATATCAAATCCCAATGTTTATACCTACCTGTGATTCGATCAACATGGAGTCTAGCTTCCACTTTCTGGGAATATTAATCTAAATTAGTTGGAATCCAAAAATGAATTCCCAAGTGGATCATGCTAACACGCTTTAACAAGTCTTGGGTTCAAGTTGAATTTTGTTATTCTATGGAAACTTCATTATTCCATAGCAGAATGATTGCTAAAATATCATGGAATGCTTGAAGTTTTGTAAATATTATTTGAAAGAAGGTAAACTTCATTATTCTCTAGTGGTAAAATGATTGCAAAAATATTATGAAATGCTTGGAAAATTTAAAACTTTGTTTGAAACATGCTGTTCCTTAAAATTTATTATAAATTATAAATTATATTTTCTTTGAATTTCTTTATTCAAAGAGGATGAGTGTCATGAAACTCGACTTAACATCAAGATGGGTGTCTAGAAACTCTACTTAATATCGGTCCTAAAGTCTGGAACCCAAAATAAAACTGTTATTTTTTTCATAGTTTTATTATTAAATAAAATAATTTTACTTTCTTTATTCAATCTAGGAACTCTAACCTCAACTCTATTGCTTAGTTAAGGGCACTTGGTGACCTTGATTCCAATACTTGTTGAAACCTGTGATTAAGGGCACTCAATATATCAATTTCATCGCTAGGGTAGATCTTCAAACCTTTTGCGTTATGGAACTCTGGTTCTAAGTGGTTGGAGCGTGATTCCCAAAATGTAGCAATCTCGATTCCTGAGATAGGCATTGTACGGACAGCGTTGCCTACCATAGGAAGCTTCTAGCCTCTTGCTATTCCTCACTTCCGATTCCTAAAACTCTCCCGGACCTGGATTGCTCCCATTTCCAACAAGTATGCATTCAACCCTTGGAGATTTTGTTTCTGCTATGTTGAGACAAGATCCCAAGCCCCATTTTAATTATTAGGGATTGTGTATGCCAAATTTAGTATGTGAACTTGGTTTTCACTTGCTTATGGGTTGACACACCTCTCTGTGGTGTGGATTTATAACTTCTCAAGTTTAATGCATCGGGAAAATTGCTAATGTTCAGTGTCTACGTTGAGTATGTTAGAGAATATGATGTGGTTCTTGAAGAAAATGCTTTTTTGTGTGACAATTAGGAAAGAAGTGTGATTTCTCCGGGGCAACTTGATCGGTAATGGACGTAGGGGTCATGGCTTGGTGGTCATGGCATTCGGACAATGTCCAAGGATTGAATCCCACAGTTAACCTAGGCAAATATTGAGATCTGAATCTGAGCTTGCTTAGGTTCCATTAGTTCGAGTTTGGAGTATATGCTGAGATGGAGAGATCATTTGAATTCGTTATTTGGGATTTTGGAGTATATGTTCTAGTTTTTGGATAATTAAATGTTCTGTAACATGGCTATAATTCTACAGTTGTGGAGGTTTGGGTGCTTAGGAGATGGAGGGAGGTTGGACATGTTGTGTGACGCTTTTTCTTGCCTGTATGTTTTCAATTGTTTGAGGTATGCCATGTCAATCTGAACACCAAAAAACAAAATTTGGTACTGCATGTTACTGATACAGCCAGTTGTTTTGTTAATCATGGGCCCTGCGGAAAATTTTACTTTGAGATGGTGGCTTCCTAGGAATTCTTGTAATCAGTTTGGCCACAAAATTTGTATAGGAAGCGAAGTTGGTTCAAGAATTATTTTAGAAGGCAACAAGACGATAGAAAAGGTTGATGTGAATGATTGTATTTGAATGGGAGGCCATTGAAAATGTTTGGACGTCACTGAGAGCATGGTTACTAGGCTATTCCTTCTAAGGTGGCACTTCAGCTCAAGGAATGCAGTCTGCGGTTTGGGAATGGGCACATTTTGCCATTGCGTTGCCATTCTATCGGAACTCATTCCCTCTCTAGTTGAAAATTCCTTGCACTAATGTTGTTGAGGTCCGCTTCTCTCCTTTTGTTTGCTCCATTTTTAGACCTACATAATGCATTAGAACATAAACTTTTGCTTTTTAGGAAGTGGGGTCATTTATTGCCCAAAAAAAGAAAGAAGGGAGATCGTTTGCATTCTAGATCAAATTTGGAAGGGATGTGAATATCAATATCCTTTTTCTTATTTTTTATGTTTATCCTATTTTTAAATTTGTCTTTCTCATTTTTTTTGTGTGGATGCTTCCCATGGTGCTCTGTGACTAACCATGGAGCTTTTGGCAAGCAATAGTTATCTAAAACTAATTGTAGGACGAGAGGCATGGAGATAACGACTTGATATGATGGAAATTTGTGGTGATGGAAATAGGCCGTTATCACATGGCCGCATTTACCGTCGGCTGTGATATTATGTTTCCATTGGAATTTATCAAAATATAACTAACATTTCAATTATTTAGAATTTTGGAATATATTTGATGAGACCATTTACTTTTGAAACAAAGGCACAATCATTGTTAGCCTTTGGATGTGAAATTAGATGGGTGATGTGTTACTAATTGAGCAAAAGGTCCCAAACAAAGTTTCTCAAAAGTTTGATACATTTTACTATATTAGATTTCAAATCCAATGGCTAAGAAAAAATGACTTTCTTGTACTAAAATAAATGGCTTTATAGTAGCGCATTCGTTTAGAATTTTACATTTTTTTTACCATTCAAACTCAAAATCATGGGTATATTTTGATGGGAATTTTGAAATCGATCAAGAACATAAACGGGAAATGTTAAAATCTCATAGGTGTATTTTGACAAATTTCTCCTTGAGAATTGTTATTTTTTAAATAAATACAATGATATATTGTTTCGAAGAGACATGAGGTTTTTTATGGACGCATGATGGCACGGTTTTTGGAAATTTATTGATATTGCAGCTTGTAATTTTATTCGTTGAATGAGGAATACCTTTCATCATCCCAAAAAAAAAAGAAATTGGGGAAAATTTATCTGTAGACCCCACATTGGAGTATGATTTTCCCATAGAATTGAAAATTTGAAAACTTTTTGGTGGCATTAAGTTTCACACTTTCTTTATCTTCTTACCCTTTGAATGGTTATTACCTTTTCAATATTCATTTGAGATGCGCAGGTCCCCTTCATTTAACTCTTTGTTTTCTCTGGTTTGCTCTGCATCTCCCTCCACACGAGAAAAGAAAAGACTCATTAAATGCGAATCATGTGAAATTAGATGGGTGATGTGTCACTAATTGAGCAAAATGTCCGAAACAAAATTTGTCGAAAGTTTGATACATTTAAATATATTAGATTTCAAATCTAATGGCTAAGAAAAAATGATCTTTTTATATTAAAAATAAATGGTTTTATAGTAATGCAATCGTTTAAAATTTTAAATTTTTTTTACCATTCAAATTCAAAATCATGGGTATATTTTGATGGGAATTTTGAAATCGATCCAAAACATAAACGGGAAATGTTAAAATCTCATAGGTGTATTTTGACAAATTTCTCCTTGAGTTTTAATAAATACAATGATATATTGTTTCGAAGAGACGAGGTTCTTTATAGACGCAAGAAGCCACGGTTTTTGGAAATTTATCGATATTGCAGCTTGTAATTTTATTTTCGTTCAATGAGGAATACCTTTATCATCCCAAAGAAAAAAAGAAATTGGGGAAAATTGATGTGTAGACTCCACTTTGGAATATGATTTCCTCATAGACCTGAAATTTTGAAATCTTTTTGATGGCATTAAGTTTATCACTTTCCTATCTTTTAACTACTTTTTCAATATTCATTTGAGATGTGCAGGTCCCTTTCATTTAACTCTTTTTTTTCGTTGGTTTGCTCTGCATCTTTCTCCACACACAAGAAAAAAAAAAATTCATTAAATGCAAATCTTAACCTCTTATAGGTCAGAGTTTGCTGCGCAGTTGAGGGGAGATTGATCGAAATTTTAATTTCTATTATAAAAATTATGGTGCATCAATATTACCACACAAGTAACTATCTACTTGTTGTGGACATATGACTTCTAATGTATTGCTTCGTGATTTATCGGGTTCAAAAAAGAGAGAAGGAAAAGAGAGCGCACCTCAAAACTAAAGAGCAACAAAATCTATTTCCTCTTTTTTTTTCGGTTTTTTTTCCCGGAAGGAATGTATGAATAGTGTTTGGGTGTTTAAAACTAAAGCTCCCTTTCCCTTTTTTTTTCTAGCCTTCTTATTCATAGGATTATCCCTTTGATTCTAGGAAAAGAAAGGCCTTTTATTGTTTTGAGCTATTTTCTTGGACTTATGCTGTGTATGATTAACTTTGAATTGAGATTCCATTGCGTCGTCCTCCTTTTCTAAACTCTGCTTTCTTCCTCTTTATTCCATGATGGTAAATTTGGCACTTGTTTGAGGATGACATATACAACCTTAAGCATGGTCAACAAAAATATAAGTTTTTGTTGTCACCTTTTGAAATTCGCCCCATCAAATACTGTCGAGCTTTGCGTCACTTTGATAAAACTCACGCTTGCTCATCGAAAATATAATATTGAATTGTTGGAAAATATTGGTGAAACGGGGGCTGTAAAATCTGGTTGCAGAGGGTATTAAAGAATTGAGAAATTTTCGTCCATTTAGAAAAAAAAAACTTTAATTTTTATAAACTTCGCTTACTTTTTTGTTTTTCCAATTGGGCGTCTATTTTTATCAAAATAACTTTTACGGTAGTCGTATTACCGTGAAGTACCATTTACCGTAAAATTTAATCCATGTTATACGGCATTTTCTATACTATAAAGAGTTGAAGTATTATTACGGCATTCGAAATGCTGTAATAGTATCGCATCTTATAAACCTATCCACCTAAACTTTTTTCTCCTTTATGGTTTTGTTTATATTTATCTCTTCTTTTCTATCTAATTTTTTTTATATTTATCTTAATTTTCTCTCTCTAATTTTTTTTAATATTTATTTCTTCTTTCTCTCTCTAATTCTTGTTTTTTATCTCTTCATTCTCTCTCTGAATCATTTCTCTCTAACTCCGTTTCTCTCCCCACTTATTTTATGAACTCAATAAATGCGATTCCAACACGCCAAGGAGATTTGTATAACGTGTGCGTACCTTGTCCTCCCGTATAGAAATTCCCTTCAACCCCACCCAACTCCGTTTGCAATTATCTCGTCAGTAAAATGTTGGAAAATTACTTAAATGCGCTTTTTGCACGTCAGAAAAGGCCGTATGCAATTATATCGTCAGTAAATCGCTGGATAATTACCTAAATGCACTTTTTGCACTCAGCAAAAAGTTAAACCGCGCTTCTTCGTACGTCCTTGGTGCTGCAATCTCGTCAAAAAAGGTGGAGATTATTTATTTGGCTAGGAACACTGCTGGAAATTCCAAAGAAATCTCAAGCACCGGAATCTCGCCAGGAATCGTCTAGGCCTATCGGTAAATGAAAGGGTGTTCTCTCTAAAAAACTAGGACGCTACATACATTTTTTCATATCTCTCATACACCTTTACATATTTCTCCCTATCTCTTAGGCATTATTTTTAAGAATATCTTCCTATCCTATTTAAAAGGTACCAAATAAATTAGGGGTTTTGAAAAGTATAGTCCTCTCTCCTCCCAGATAACTCTCTCTATCTTTATCTCTCTCACACAATAAAAAAAATAAATATATAGGAAATTCCCCAATGGTTCCCCCTCTAATGAGGAAGAGATATTGTGATTCCAAATATAACGATACAAATGGAGAGGAAAAGGATCGGCAATCTTGCGATAGATTAGATTGCAATGTTTATCTGGTCACCGTCCCTATTCTTACGCTTTTAAATAAGGGAAAAATACATTTACGACACTTTAAGTGTCACAGTAGATGTTCAATTAATCACAATACTTAGAGTACTGTGATGCTAATGATGACCTTCACGGTAATATGACTACCGTGAAGGCTATTTTAGTCCAAAAAAGCTCAAAATTGAAAAAAAAAGAAGGTATAGGTGCGCTTTATGAAAATTTGGGTTTCTCTTTCTAATTAAGTAAAAATTAAGATATATTCTGATAATTTCCCTAAAGAATTTCAATGTAAAAAATATGGTTGGGCCTTGTTTTCAGTCATGCTAAATGTGTGGATTGTAACAAGTAAATTAGCTCTCGGGATACCTATTATTAGCCCCAACTGCCAATGGATTGTAACAAGTAAATTAGTCCCGGGGTTACCTAAAAACATGTCTTTATGATATCTCGCCTATTTAATACACTAAGAATGACGAGCCCTAAATGCACTAGAGTTCCTAGAGATAAAAAGTAGTTCTTGATGAAAAGTTATATATGGATGGAGATGGCAGTTATCGTTGAAAATTTGAGTAAGAAAAAAATGTATTTAAGATGGTAGAAAAGAGCTATATTTATATATGAAAAAATATATAACGAGACTATTTACTTTTGGTATAAGATGATCACAATTAATTTTCACCATTGGATTTGAAATTGGGTGACTCCATTTATTTCATTGACCAAGCTCAGAGTTCAAAAGAAAATATCTAGAACTTTGTGATACTACTAAGCTATCAAATTTCACATTAGATAGTTATAATTTATAAGTAATTACAACTTCATTGTATCAAAGGTTCATGGATTCGTTGTATATAATCTCTTTACATATTTATGAAGCGACTGTTGAGTAGAGAGACGTAGCTCTCGAGTTAGTAGTTATGGCAATCAACCATCTTAACGACCTTATCAAATCCAATGGCTAGAAATAACCGCTTTTGACGGTTAAAAACATTGACTCTACTTAGAGCCGTTCTCTCTACAAAATAATACTTTAGGAATGCCAGGGTCATAAATTACATTATTTTGCAATAATAACTACTATTTTACAAAGCTAAAATGCTAGAAGTGCAAGAGGTGAACTTCTTAAGAAATAGGATATCTGAAATACTATGATAAGATAAAGCTACAAGTTCTTGTTTATCCAAGAACCTAAAATCATTGTACTGCAACGAGTATAACTCCAAGTTTTTTTTTGTTCTTTTTTGAGTGGCAATGTAAACCATAACATGGTTTTTTTTAATAGGTAAGTCAGTAGGGGAGAATGCCCTTTATCCGTTTTTCATTAATAAAAAAAAATGTAAAATTTACATCTCATTACCGTAAAACTCTAAAGCATGATGCTTCTACCAAATCATGAGTTAAAACAAGACAAATAAAATCCAAACGAGAACGTCAAACAATAGCTCTTTGATAAGATGTAACCTTTTTTTAAAGAATATCGGCCATCGTATTGGCTTCACGAAAGATGTCGGAGACATGGTGACTAAGGTGTCATGCCCCATTGCAAAAAGTTCCAATTTCATGTTATCTTCATGTAGCAATAATTTTATAGTTTTGAAACGCACCCTAAATGGTAATGGAACAAGGGTAAAAAAAAAAAAACCCTAGGCCCTCCCTCGAAAGAAACATTTTTGTACGAGGCTCCGTATTTTCTTTATTAAAATTTATATAAAATGAGAGATTTTTTGACTGATGGGGTGGTCTTCCACGTGCCCATTTCCCTTTCTATGAGCCCTGTCTCCTCTCACACAACCGCTTTTTTATTGCCTTTTACCAAACTACCCCTCACCTCAACCCCATTTCCAGATTCCCATTCACTCTCATTTTGTTTTTTTCTTTTTTTAATTATTATTATATAACCTCCCGCACGTACCCTTGTCATCACTTAGGAAGTTAGAAGACCAAAAAAAAAAAATTAAAAAGAAAAAAGAAAAAAAAATTTCCTCTTTTTCTCTCCTTCCCTCTCCCAGCTTTTTCTCACGTTCTCAAACCCTGGTCTTGTGAAAGCACTTTCCTATGAGAAAGTTGGTTTTCCCTCTTGGCATGGTAAAGTGTCTTCACATCTAACCTGCTATGAGCATTTTCACATCTAACAAGCTATAAGCATTTTCACATCTAAATAAGTTATGAAGCAGGTTTCTCATGAAAATGTACAGGGAAAAGCGCTTTTCTGGCTATTACAGTAACCATTGCTTTCCTAAAAGACAAACATGAAGAAGCAATACTTTAAAAAACCTTTCTCATGGAATCTTTCCTGGGATACAAACATGAATCTTTCGTTATTTGCAAGGAGGTCACAGGACGAGTCGACTGGAACCGGGTCTGGACCCAGACAATGGACCAGACAGGTGAGCTTTGGGTCTATTTGACCTAGAGGCGACTCAGTCGGATCCAGTCGGGGTCAATGCGACCTAATCCGACCCTTTATTATTATATGTGTAAGGTACATATCAATATACAGTGACTGTATTTTCCTGTGTAAGGTACATATCAATATACAATAACTGTATTTTCCAATAGTGACGTCAGAACACTCATTTAATGAAAATTTGAGATGCGCCTTAGTATAAAGTTACAATCTCATATTAATTTTTCTTACAAATATATAATATATTTGATATATTTTTATTTTTTGAACCGAACCAAACCGAATCCAATCAAGTGAATAAAGTCTATGTCCAATTGATTTGGAACCCCAGGTCTAGGTCTTGGCTTGGGTTGGGTCTGGGGTTTAACTTAAACATAATCAAGTCGGGATCATATCTGACCTGGTTATTTGTTGTCAATAGAATGCGTATACAGCACAATGTAATATCTATTCCCCCTATCAAAGGGCTACTTAAGATTTTTTTTTTAATATAAAAATTTGAAAACCACTTAAAAATCAGTAAATGATCATTCACAAAAGACAAAAAATTAAATTTTGAGTTTTCTACCCTTAAATGTCCCCATTTAAAAACTGGGCTGTCTCTATTTAATTTTGAGATTTTTTTCAAGTGCATAGAGGGTGCAAATAGATTTTTTTTTTTATTATTTTATTTTATTGAAGTTGACCTATGGTTTAAGGAGGTTATATCCTCCAAAATTTAGATTCCTATAACCAATCCTAGATAGAATATAGTATTGCTCGAGAGAGTAAATAGACAATATACTCTCACGGGAGTATAATATGGCTGGGGTGGGCTGAAGCTATATAAACTGAAAAGTAATCGGGCTTTATCTTGCCTAAAAAAAACCCGGTTTTTAAGATAACATGACGCACTAGAGCTCAAATTGCATGATTATTTAATTAGTACTAGGGAAATGCCTCCCATGGCCTCATTTATTTTTCCCTACTGCCTAAATAATCTCCATTCTCCAAAAAGAACAACGGGAGAAACAAACAAAACTAAAAGATTGTGTGATCCCTTTCCAATATTAATTATTTCTTTATTAAGGCAATAACTATGAAACTCGGAACTTGGAAGAACAAGCATAGAGATCCATATAAAAAAGAATTCTCAAGTGTGGCAACGGGCTGGGCCTGCCTTAGGTCTGGTCCCGATAGGGCTCGCACAAGCCCGGCCCTATATGGCAAGGGCTGGGATGGGCCGTGCCAAAAACAAATGAAAAATAGAAAAGAAAAAACATAAAAAAAGAGGGCCAACATTGGTGCTCGTCTGGCCCTTGGGCCATAGTTTGTGGCCCAAACCTTACTTTTCTTTTTAGAGCCGATCCAGGACACTCTGCCCATTGCCAGCTCTAAGAATTACCAGTCCTATAGGGCAAGGGCTGGGCCGGGCCAAAAAAAAAAAAAGGGGGGGCCCAGCACTAGTACTAGCTTGGCCATAGTTTGTGGCCCAAGTCCCACTCTTTTGGGGCCGGCCCGGACTGGCCGGCCCGGTTTGATCTGCCCATTGCCTACCCTAGCAATTCCTATTGTCGAAAGGTTACTTACGTAATTTTTGAAAGCTGCTCGAACTTTAACCAACCCTGTCGACCTTTGTGCTCCCTGTGGCCCTTTTCAATGTCCCATTCCCCCCAGTTTAAATCCTTATTAAATGAACAAACTTCTTGTTTAACTTTAAGTACATGTTAAACAAATACAAATGGGTATGATTTCTTGCAAAACTCTGATAAAAGCTTTTTCAGGAGACTCCGAACAGGCAGAGAGGCACAGTTACAGCAGGCGCTGTAAATTCCTCACATTCTCCTGAAACTCAGCTTTATGAATTTCATCTCTCTCTCTGTCTCTGTCTCTCTTGTGACAAAAACCACCATTTCCTTTATTTTATAACATTTATCTGAAGTTTTATCAGAGACCCATATTTCCCTTTTCTTGGTCTTCACTGCCATGCTTCTCTGTTAGATTCGGAGAAGCTTGATAAAAGCCATGGAAAAGAAGAAGAAGAAGGACACCCCCAAATCAAACCCACAACCAGGAACTACTGATTCTGGGGTTAGTTAGAATATAGGCTTATTTTTCTTTCCATTTGCACCATTTTCTTTTTCCAACCCTAAATATACTCCTCTACTTTTGCTCTGCAAATACATTAATGATGAAGTCACTGCATCTTTTTTCTGGTTTATTGTTTATGTTATTTTTTTCGATTTTACTTGCAAGCTCTTGGTGGTAAACCATACCATTCTGTACTTCTTTAAGCACGAATGTTTGAATGTGGACAAAACGTCTCAAAAATTTCAATGGTGTCTTTTCATTCTATTATGGAAAGATTCTTTTTTTTTTTTCTTCGTGTTTTGTTTGGGTAGAGTCAAATCTGGGAAAATGGTTGGCCTTGTGAAAGGTAAAATCCATTGGCTATGTTCTTTCCTGTGATATTTATGTTAATGTGATCAGTTTCTTTGTTCTCTGCACTGGGCTCTGTATCTGCTACTGTTTCTGCAAAATTGGTTAATTTTTTTCTAATGGGTCTTTGAAGTCGAAATTCTGAAAGATGAATGACAATGGTTGACAAAACATATTGAAGATGATCAACTCCAATGATTTCCATGGACTAGGTTCTCTTATTGGATGCTTATATTCTTGCATGTTTGTTAATTTTATGTTAAATGCCTAGAACTAGGTTTCCTTGAACTGGGCCCTGCTCACTGATACTTGTTTCTGCAAATTTGGTTACTTTTTGTAAGTGTCTTGAGTTGCATTACTGGGTTTTGAATGTAACTATCTCTGATGAATAACAATGGCGGATTAAACAGATTAAAGATGATCAAACCCAAACAGTTGGGGCAAGCATGATTAAGAGGACTTCAAGAACAGGGAGCCCTTCAAATGATAATTTGAATGCTCTTAACCAGAACCAGTTCCCTCCCGTTTTACAGTGGCCTTATACACCTCAACCAACAATAGAGCACTCTACCATTGTTAAGCATTCACCTCTCACTCAAAACCCCTTGCCCTATCTTAACCATAGGAAGCCATTAAATCTTAACCAAGCTCAACAAGCATCTGGGTTTTGGCCACCACGCCCTGAGTTCCCCTCTGGTCCAGGGGCTTATTTCCCTTCTGCCCCTCCTCCCACCATTACCGAGTCTAATTGGCAAGCTCCTACTGTTCTTGGAGCTTCTTCTGGGAACGAACATGCTGCTCCTGCATACTGTTACCACGGGGGGTATTCGTATCCCATGGGCTTTCCAGGTAAAATACTCTCTCCCTATCTCTCCTCCCTCTCAAAAAACCAAGAAAAAAAAAGGTAATGAGAGTTTAGTGGTTGTTAGGAGGTTTCTTTGTCTAAGACTCATTGGTAACGGTTATTGGTTACAGGTCCATGGGACCCTTCTACTTGGTGGGGGCAACCACAAACACAGTCCCCTTATGTGTACCCTCCTCCTCCTCACCCACCCCCTTATGTGTACCTTCCTCCTCCTCACCCCATGACTGAAGGTTCGGCCGTGGTGCAACCTTACCAGAGGGGTGTTATAAGACCTCCTGCTGGACTCTCTCAGAAGCATCAGAGACTATGGGAAGCACAAGTGGGCCTCTCTCTCTCTCTCTCTGAATTATTGCATGGGTTTGAAATATGCAAGTTCTGACATTGACTATTCAATTCAGTCTCTCTCTCTCTCTCAATTATTGAATGGATTTGAAATATGCAAGTTCTGACATTGACTATACAATACAGTCAGCCGAGAATGTTCATCTCTGGACTGCTCTGCGCCGTCTTGAAACAGAGATTGCTTCATACCGTGTCAAGATTACAAAGCTTGAATCCATGCTTCAATCTCTGAAACCACAACAGGATGCTGGAATAGAGGGGTCGACCTTGCAAACTACAAGGAAAGGGAGAACCAAGAGATCAACAGCTCCAATGGCTAATACACTAAATTCTCCTGAGAATATTCAACCTAGACCTCGTGGAAGAAGGCCTAAAGGTCCAGCTGAAGCAAAGGAACAATTGAACCCTGAGAAAGAGATTTCCCATAAGGCTGATGATAGAGAACAGGCCTTCAGTCCAATAGCTCAGCAAGAATCCGAACAAAAAATCCCAATGATTCTAACAAATGGTGGTGGATTTGAGTTAAATGGAAGTAATAAGCCAATACCATCTTTGGATTTCCAAAATATGGTTTCATACCAGAACCAGGTTAATCAAGAAACAGTTGGGAACCAAATTAGCGCATTCGTCACAAAACCCACCTCTGAAATGCCAGGAAAGAGAAATACAGATGAACAAAAGTCCCTATTTTTTATGCCTGGTCAAGTTGTAAAGGGTGCTGAATCTTCTGATCATGCTTCTATGTCTTTTAGAGGAGTTGGTAATGGAGTTCATGGATGGCCCCAAGCCATGATGCAATCTGAAAATTGTGCTAGAAATATTATGGATATGAGATCCCACCTCTTCTATGATCACGGCAATGCCTTGAGGCAAGGAAACAAGGTTCTCTCTGGTTGGAGCTGTGTAGGTGAAGAAGATCAAGATGACGCTGAGCAATCACGGAAGGAAGATGGTGATGATGAAGAGATGGAAGATGATTCGAGCTCAGCTGTGGATGAAATGAGCAAGCCAAAGGTGGAAGGCTCTCTAGGGCTGGATTCAAGGGCTCAGATTGCCAAAGGCTTGACTCAATTGAATAGGTGGTAGGTAACTCAGTTGGGTCTAACCACTGACATAGGAAATTGGTGCCTCAATAGAGATAATTCTCTTTCTTCTTTTTGTTGCCTATGGACTCAGGTTCAGAGAGAGAGAGAGAGAGAGAGAGAGTGGCAAGAGATTTTGCAGGGTACAAAGGCAACAGGTTATGTAGGTTGACGACTGATGAGAAATTGTAGGTTTTGGATGTTTTAGTAGCTCACCTTTTGTAGATCTACCCATCCTTCATCGGTTTCCAATTCTCTTTCCTGGTTTTGCAGATGCTGAAAAGAGATTACTTGTACTCTTGTTTACTGCATGAATTAAATCAAAATCATTTTTGGGCTTCTCTTTTTCTCGATGGGGATCCAGGAGCTATGAGAGCCAAAACTTCTTAATGTCGTCATAGTTTTCATGCCATTTTACGTCATGTGGAGCGATTATGATCATTTGATTCAAACCAAACGCAAGTTGGAGTTTTACTGTACAATTGCACTAATTCACAGTTTAATGTAGCTAAAACCTTACATTACTTGTTAATTGGGTATGGAATGGCAATTTTAGTTTGGAATTGAACCTTTGTGCGCCAAATCCTGATGGGTGAGCATGGGCTGAAGCCAACTCACTCCTGAGATGTGTTCTTGGCTATTATTAATTCATATTTGGCTATTGCTTGAAGCATAAGAAATTGTGTGCAGTCAGGGGGTGAAATAATGCACGGAATGAATGATGTCAACTTTTTTAAATAGGATCAAGCAATAATGTAAGAAAATACACCATAGCAAGAAAATACACCATAGCAGGTTCAATACTAATGTGATTCAAGCTTTCGAAAAGATCTGATCCTATACCAGGAGCCAACTACTTGACAGTTGTCTGCACGGAACTGGTTTTGACAATTTGTTCCTCATAATTCCTCAGGATCTATGGGCAGTAAACAAATGCATACTCCATTTTTCTTCAGCCCTTATTTCTTTGGTACTAAACTATCAGCCTTGCCATGGCAAATGAAATCATTTTCTTTGTCTATGAATTTAAAAGAGGTCAAAGTTGTTGTTTCTAACCTCCTCAAGGCTTTTGAAACTTTGGAATAGCTTTCTCAATCTTGCTTGTTGAGGGCAATTTGATGGAGTCCTAGGGTTGGAGTCTGTGGACAAGTCTCTATTAGCAAAAACACAAAAACATGCACAAAAGCATAGGGATTATATACATTTTATGAATCTGGTCGATTTTGTGTGGATTTTCCTCTTCCTTTTTAAGGGAGTGGGTATCCCCTATGAGGTGCAAGAGTTTGATGCTCGCAATCGTAGATCGGCCTCATAATTATCAGAACAAGGAGTACAGTTTCACAACACAACCCGAGTGTTCTTGAATCGCCAACTAGGCTTTTCCTTTACTAGGGTTTTTGGAGAGAGTACCTAGGAGAGAGAGAGAGATGTCAAGGTCCAAAGAGAAGTGGTCTTTGTTAAGAAGCACTTCCACTTTTTCTCTCTTGGGAGGAGAGTTATTCTCTCTCTCGATCCTTTTTTTTTATACAAATATTTAATATGAAAATTCATCATCATTATTCATAACAAGATGTGGAAAAGTTTTATGTTGATTGTCCTACCTATCACAACCCTCCTCTTTTATTTGGGTTTTGTTACTTGTTTGACTAGGTTAGGACCAACCATGGTACAATTACAATAATTAATGGGTGCGGTTGGCATACGGATGCATCCATAGGCGTAGAGATAAGGTGCACCTTCAAATTTTATCATGGTATATAATTTTGATGTAAAATGTTCTAACGATTATCTCAAAATATGTTTTTATATCTAATTATAAAATTTTAAATTAAAAACATAGCTAAAATCAAGTAGATCTATAAACATATGAAAATCTTGAAAATGGACGGTGTAGATAATATGTTATAAAATACATTATTTCTGAGACTTAAAATCTTTTTATTTTTCATGGTCATACATCTCGATGTTGATATGATCAATCAAAGGGCTTTTCAATATTAAAACTACCTTTTCCGATGAATTTTTGAGGTACATCCGCAGCTATAGAGGTACTGCAACCTTATAAATTCCTTTTCCATATTTAATATGGGAATTCTTTCTAAAAAGTGAGTAATTTTTTCATATTTTGAATAATATTCTATCTCACCAATTCCCTAAAAGATTTTGTACTCCGTCGAGAGTATAAGGAGTAACTTTAGAACCCCAAATTGGGGATGTTAACTCTTCAACCAATGGACTAACCTCAATATAAAAAGCTTCCAAATTGCACTCTTTATTCACTAAAAAAAACAATGCCTCAATGCTACCATCCAATTTTTGGAGGAGAGTTGGTAAACTTAAAATTCAAAATTTTTTATTTTGAAAAATAATCGGACATCATTCTACAATGACAAGTTTGAGGCAAATTAAAACCACTTTTCGCACCAGAGAAAACGTCTCATCACATTCTTCAAACTCAATTGGGTGAACCCTTTTGCACCAATCGGGTCTTTTATTTATCTATAGTTTCATCAGCCTTATAGACCCTCAAAACTCACTCAAATTGGACCAAACTTGGTTCTAAATTATAGAAGAGGTCGCGGTTGAAGAATAAAGCAAATTTGACATATGATTTGGAAGTCATGATCCAAACAAGATCATTCACAAAAATTTCATTTTGATCCCATATAGCACGAGTTTGGTACATAATGCGTGCGAGCTTGGCACACACGCTCTGTAGTTTGGTACATACGCATGCGTGTTTGGAACACTCATAGAGCCTGTTTAAACCCAGATTTTCCAGTAAGCTTCTTTGGGCACTTCTTATGGAAATTTTGGATGCATGTAACCTGAACTCGCACCCCGAAAAACCGTCTGAAATGCTCCGAAACACCTGTTTTTATTACACAGGCCCTCCACATTGTGCGTGCTACCAAAGGTCGCACACATGTTTGGCTTGGTGGTAATAGGATTGATGGCTCAGATTGACCCGCCACTTGGCGAAGGCCGTTACGACCTTGTTTTCCTACAAATAGGTCCTTTTCATACTATTTTAGGGTCTGGAACCCGACCATTTAGCCATAACCCTAGAGTCCACTCTTTCTACCCCTCAAACCCTGTACTCAACCAGACTCTAGCGTTAGGTTTCCCAGACATCCTTGCAACTCCAGGGACCATAATACAGCCCACTCTAACCCTAAACACCCAGAAAGCTCCATAGCATAGAGTGTGAACTAATGTGTCTAAGGCCAAGTTACCCATGGTCCACCCTACCCTCAAAGGCTTCCCTCCATCACCGAATTGGTCTTAGCATTGAGCGTCTTTAGCTCAGCCCTCCAATCAATGACAGGAACGGTCCACCGCATAACAACCTACTTCTGGCTTACTCTGACTCAGGCCACAACTCCAAATACAGGCTCGCGGTACTGGCTTGCCAAGTAGGCCCACATCACCATTTCTTCTGATTTTTTTTTTATTTTTATCGAGTTTGTTTTCCTATTCTACTTCCAAATCCTTTTACAAAATCCCACCTGTTTTCCTAAACTTTTTCTAAATTTTCTTTTTTCAAATTTTGATGATTTTCAGCCATCGCAGCTAGTGGAATACCGAAAGAAGGTCGCAAGGCTGAGACCTTTCATGATCCATAATTTGACATAACCCTAAATCTGATCGGCAAGGTTTAGATGAGGAATCGGCAAAGAACGTTACGTATAAACACTAGTGTCCAAGAAATGTGCAATTACAACATCAACATCTCATTAGGGACATATGACCAAAATACATGAATGAACAATCCCTATCCAAATCATCACTAGCAGTATGTGACTTTGATGGCATATACTTATGTTCCTAAATTGGCCCATCTGAGTTAAGAGACAAAGAAAGTCAATTTAGAGCCTTCCTCTAGTTTCCTGAATCCCTCTCCTTCTCCCACAAACCCTAACTCACCCTTACTTCTCCCAAGATGCTTGTTTACCTTGAATAACCAGATTCAGCCCAAGCCCTAGGTTTTCGATATGTTCAATCAATTCAATCCTGTGGATTAACCCTTAAACTTGTCAAACAAAATTTTTAGATTAACCTAAAAGATTCGAGAAAAAAATCAAAGTTCTTTCTAGAGAATATTTACATAAGGCCTCAGTCTGATACGACACCAACTCTGAGTGCTAGGTATGTAAGATCCTATTGATAAGGCTTCTCTATTCTCTTTTACTTTATTTGTTTGCTCTTTATTTTACTTTTGTTTGATTTTTAATCATCTTAGATGAATTTTTATTCAACTTTTATAAGGAAATTACAAAAAAAAAAAAAAACAACTTTATTAGGATTTTTGGTGAGATCTAACTAGTTAAGCAACCAATTTAGAAAGAGTCTTTGCAATCTTAATCCTTTTGAATTGTATCATGACTACATGCAGTTTTCTGAAATTACTTTACTCGAGAAGAGATATGGTGACTTATGATCTCACTGAAGGTATGACCCTTCATAGAGCAGAATGATATAATAAGATTCATGTAGCTAACCCTAAATAATAAGAAAAAAATGATGATAATATTATCTGATGTTAATATTTTGATTACTAAGGTTTTCTTGTAGGAAAAAAATGCACTTATTCTATTGACCAAGCTCAAGCTTCAAAAGAAATTATCTCGAACATTGTGACACACCCAAGCTATATGATATCACTTCGGATGGTTATAGTAATTGTGACCTCCACGTGTCAAAAGTAAATGATATCGTTGTATACAATCGCTTTCTTGAATTGCAAAGAAATTTCATATTATCCTTCCCATATAACCAAATTCATAGTAAGCGAGAATGAGCAAGGGTCGTGGTGGTAGCACGCTACCCCACACCCTAATCTCCACATTGTGGTTTCTAGTCCCACCACTAACACTACCGTACTAATACTTTCAAAAAGCTACCTCCTAATCTACTTGAAAAAAACAAATAGGGGCTTGTCTTCCCCACTGTATTACCAAAAAAAAAAAAATCATGATAAGCATACAAGACAATAAAAAAAGCAAAGGTAAAGGAAAGGAAAACCAAAAGACCCATGAATTTCATTTTTCCCCCTGAGTTTAGAAGAGCCTCCAAATTTAGAAGGTCTTGAAAGGCTTGTAAGTCCTCAAAGAGGTGGCAAGGCCTTGAAAGGAGCCCACGGCCGCGGCAACACTGACCAAGAGGCAAATCAAGTTGAGTATCTGCAGCCAGCACCACTCGGTAGACGCGCGCTGGACCTTCTTTCGGTGGATGTACATCTCTACAGGGAAGTAAACTGTAAGGGGCCAAAAGGCAATGGACCCAATCAACCCCACCAAGTCGTTGAAGAAGGGGAAGATCATGGCGATGAGGGTGAGGACCACCACATACAACGTTCTTGATGTGATCCTGAAAAAGTTGAATGAGTAGGAGCATAATCCCAAGGTTGAAATTGTCCATTCATTGCTGATGAAAGGGTTAGAAGGCCATCGCCTCGAGCACACCCTCTCCATGACTGCATATAGGGGCTGGGCAAACACCTGTGCTCATTATACACACAAATATTGGAATCAGGCCAATTTTCTCGGTTTTTATCATTCTAATTTTGATATAAATTTCAAAGATAGAGAGTATCCTAGTCCTAAGTTAGGTCAAAGGTATTCGGTAGGAAATCACAGCTCAGGGACGCAACTCGGCCAATGGTCGAAGCCTAAGTAGCCGAGTAACTCGGTCCAAGTTCGGAGTTACTCGGCCCGAGTTAGGCAGGGTCCGGCCAGACCAAAAGTGTTAAAAATACAAAAATATTCCCAAAAAATATTAAAAATATGTTTAAAGTAAAATTGAATAAAAGATATCTAAATGAGGTTAAAAAACTAGTGAAAACTTACTTGAAATGATCCAAAGAGATGAACAGCAACACAGACATTGGCAAAATCTATCAACCAAAAGGGTTCATAATACCCGAACCCAGTGAGCATATTTCCTGGTGCCTTGCTGCCAAATGCTGCATAGCCCAAGCAACCGCAAAGCAAGTAGAAGACAGTAGTGATGATGGTTGATATTGTAGTTGCCTTCTTCATCACTTTGTTCTCAGCAGGAGGAGGGCCTTTCAATGTATCCTTCATCAAACAATAAAATAATCTTAGAACCAACTGACTTTCCCAAGTTTTCAACTCAGTCTAAGACTCAATTTTTCACAATTTGATAGAGTAAATATAATAATAAAGGGAAACGTTTATATAGAGCCTAGGCTCTAAACAATCAAATTAGAACCTACCTCAAAACGTTCATTAGATAATGTTGTTTTGATTCCAAAATATCATCAAATTGATTATCTCGACATCAAGATGCATGGACATGAGAAAAACATGGATTTCAAGTTTTTGAAAATAGTGTATTTTGTAACGTACATTTGGACCGTCAATTTTCAATATTTTCAAGTTTTTATAGATCTCTCTATGTACACTATTTTTGAAGCTTTAAACTTTATAAATAACAATAAAAATATATTTTAAGGCTATCAAAAAGATTTCCAATTTTGAAACTATATTTCTTGATCCTATTTGAATGCAGGCTCTAATTTGATTGTTTAGAGCTAGGCTCTATACAAACCGCACCCTTTAGTTGTTTTATTTGTAATATTTTCGAACTGTTTTTATTTAGCTATCTTTATAAACTCCTGTATTAAAAAAGTTGCACGTTTCCGTCTAAGAATAACGGCATAACTACATCCGGCACAGGCAACATTTGTAGAGAGAAAGAGAGCTCCATTTCTAGAGAGAGAAGTATATATTATTTTGAGAGAGAGAGAGAGAGAGTTCCATTTCTAGAGAGAGAAACCTCCATTTCTAAAAAGAGAGCGCTCCATTTGTAGAGAAGAGAGAAAAAGTATATACTATTTTTGAGAGAGACCTGGATTTCTAAGAGCACAGCAGTAAATGCGGAGGCAAATGCAATATTTCCGAGAGCTTGGCAAACCCTCCAAAACTTCTCTCCCGCAGTGATATCTATCCCAACTCTTACCCCTGTAAGACACGTTGTTTTCGAAGCTCCTTCACCTGCAAATCCTCAACCTCTCAGTTTCCTCTCTCTCTTACCAATTATAACAAAACTCTCACTTTCTCCTTCTCTTTCTTATTATAGGGCAAGCTTTCTATGCTTTCCTTACGGCATAAATTTTATATACTTCCCCTCATCTAACCATTTATTTTGAATGAAGGGTTCCAATCACACTGTCACGTCTCTACACTACTTTTTTTTTAAAAATTTTTTTTAAAATTATTTTGACACTAAATTTTGAATGTATTCCAGTGTTTTAAAAAACGGCGGGTTCGACTCGGGAACCGGCACAGCTCGTGCCGGTTCCAGCACAAAACCGAGAACCGCCCGGTTCTAGAGTAGAACCGCCGGTTCTATCTGGTTAAGCCCGGTTCACACACGTAATGCATGACATGAACGTGCGAGCGTGCCCCACGCACACTCACACATGCACACGTGTGTCCGAGCGCCCGGTTCACACACGTAATGCATGACATGAACGTGCGAGCGTGCCCCACGCACACTCACACATACACACGTGTGTCCGAGCGCACGTGCAAGCGTGCCCCACACGTGCACACGTGTATCTGAGCGCACGTGCGAGCATGCCCCACGCACACTCACGCGTGCACACGTGTATCCGAACACACCATGCACGCTCACGCGTGCACACGTGTATCTGAGCGCACGTGCGAGCATGCCCCACACACACTCACGCGTGCACACGTGTATCCGAGCACACCATGCACGCTCACGCGTGAGGTTACCCTAATATTT